CTCTTCTGGGAAGGTCTGAGGCCTTGAGCCAGGAAGGTGAGGCTCCTGGGGTGGCATCTCTGGGGGAGATTTCTGCCCCTGAGCTGGGGGTCTCCCAGGCTGACCTTTCTTCCCTCGCACCCTGCCACCTCTACCTGCAGCCTCTGTGACGCCCGCACAGCTCAGCCCCACCTGGCCTGGCCAGTCCGAGCCACCTGCCCCCAGGGATCCAACCTGCTCAGCCCCCCCGAGGGTCACCATGGTGCGTCCCTTCCCCGGGATCCATCGCCCAAGCCCCAGCAGCCTCTCACTGGGTCCCTTTAGCTGGGTTGAGGGCCCCTCATCCCCAGGGTCACCCCTGCTGTCTCCTGCGGATACCCGGATCTGAGGAAAAGGGGCTGTGAGCATCGGGACACGAGGGGTGGCCCAAGGAGAGGTGGCTTGTCACCCAGTGTAGAAAATGAGGGTACTTCCAGGTACTTCCCGTTGGCTCAGAGCCCCAGCCCCTCAGCCTGGCTTCTGAGCTCCAGGCCAGAGGAACAGTCCCTCTCAGGGGGGAGGTCTCTCACCCCTCCTCTTCCGGAGACACCCCTAGCCCACCCCGGGATCAGGCCCTGCACCATGTGACCCCATGGCCACACAGGGTCCAGAGGCAGTGGACACCCCGGATGGCTTGGCTGCGCTGAGGCTGGACGGGCTGCCCTCGGGCGACCTGGATGGGCTGGTGCCCACGCAGGACGAGCGAGGCCGGCCCATCCCCGAGTGGAAGCGGCAGGTGATGGTTCGGAAGCTGCAGGCGCGCCTCGGAGCCCAGGAGGCACCTGAGGCCCAGGTGGGCTGGGGAGAGCTGGAAGGAGGGAAGGGTGGGACTGGAGGGGACATGGAGGTGGGCGGGACAGGAGGTGGGTTGGCTGGGGGCAGGGTAGAGGTGAGAGCCCTGGGGCAGGAGGGTTTGCCCCCATCTGAGTGAGGCGTCTGTCTGTGTGTCTGTCCGGAGAGATACCCATTGGTTAAGGACAGTGGCAATGCTGCCCACTGGAGGGTTGTGCTCTGGAGCTGGGCCCCACTTCCTCCATTAGTGAAGCTGTTGATCGTAGGCTAACCTCCACAGACACCTGAGGACCCACTCACATGCTCATATCCCAGCAGGGGGCAGGCAGTAAACCGGCCACCAGTGCGCTGGGGTGGGGGTGCGGGAGTCACTGAGGCACTGAGGGAAAAAGCAAAGTTGGCGGCGGAGGGGCCCTCCAGGTAGGGGGCACAGAGCGGGGGTCTGGAGTGAGGGGACAGGTGGCTAGTGCGATAGGCACCCTCCCCGGAGGAGCACCACATACTTACCCCTCAACTCCACCAGGGCTCCCTGACACATCCCGTCTGAGCCTGGGGTGCAAGCTTGGTAGACCAGGTTGACCCGCACGGTGGCCCCTGCCAGATTCAAGTTCAGTGAAAGGAACTTGCCCCTCTCCCGTCAGCCACATTCCAGGTGCCCACCCATGGTCTGTGCCCACTGAACTGCACAGTACACACGTGTCCCTTATAGCTGGGCCGCCAGGCAGCACTGACCTGGTGGCCCTGTTTGTCCTAGTATGTCAGGTGGAGAGGCTCGAGGGGAAGGCCCCTAGCACCTCTCTATGAGACAAAGCTGGAGAGCCAGTGGGTCAAGGCCAGGGACATGGAGGTGGGTCCAGCCAGCCTGCTGACTCTAGCCACTCCCGGGAGAGGTGGGGAACCCTGCCCAGCACAGCAACTGTCCCCTGCCCCAGGACCCTGCCCTGGAGGAAGGATTAGGACTCACTCGTGCATAAGCGCCCTAGTGGCACTGCCAGACTACCAGCTATACCTAAGGTTAGGGGTTCAAACCCACCAGCCGCCCCTCAGGAGAAAGATGAGGCTGTCCTCTCCCATGAAGATGGACAGCCTGGAAAACCCACGTGGGCAGGTCTGAACCACCCCCATGGCAGTAGGTTAGTAGTGCCAAGTGCCCCAGAGCCCTGGCCTCTCGGCCACCCAGAAGCAGCAGGGTCTGCTGGCCTGTGGTGCAGTCCACAGCAGCACCCCACAAGGCGCAGGGTGAGGAGTCCACACAGGCAGGGGATTCATGAGGGGAGGGGCAGAAGTCAGGGTCCCCCTGACTGTGGGCATCCAAGGGCCTGCGATTGGGGCAGCAGGGGAAAGGATAAAGTAGGCTGCCTGAGGCTGCCCGCCCTTGGAAGATTCCGGAATGTGAGGAGGAGGGTTCTGAGGAGGAAGAACCTATGGATTAAATATGGAGTGGGGAGCACGGGGAAATGGGACAGAGAAGCCCCTTAGTGCCCACAGGTGGGTGCGGCCCCAAGTCTCCAGCTCTGGGTGCAGCTGGCCAGGCCAGGGGCCAGCAGGGTGCCCAGGTACCTTGCCATGGTCCCACCAGGCTGGACTGCCCAGCTGAGCTTAGCCCTCTCGGTGCCCAGGAGGACGGCGGGAGCGCGAGCCCGGGGGAGCAGGCCGCCTGGCGGTACTCCCAGGCCCACCAGGCCATCCTGGGCCCCTTCGGGGAGCTGCTGACGGAGGACGACCTGGTGTACCTGGAGAAGCAGATCGCCGACCTGCAGCTGCGGCGCCGCTGCCAGGAGTACGAGAGCGAGCTGGGCCGGCTGGCGGCCGAGCTGCAGGCCCTGCTGCCGGCGCCCCTGGTGCGCATCACCGTCAATAGCCACCTCCTGCCGCGGGCGCCCGGGGCCGAGGCTGACGACGCCCAGGAGGCCGAGGCCCAGGCGGCGGCGGTGCCCGAGGGCCGGGAGGCAGAGGCGAGCACGGCGCCTGGCGGGCAACCCGTGCCCTTCTGGTGCGGCCACATCGCCCGGCTGGTCCGGAACATGTCACTGCTGCTGCGGGGCGTGAATGGGCTGGTGCAGGGCGAGGAGCGGCCGGCCGCCCGGGCCCCCGACGCGGACCCCCGGGAGGCCCCGAACAGACCCCCGCGGAGCGAGGCCCAGCGCGAGATCCAGGAGTGCGGGGTGTCGGTGCGGACGCTGCGCGGC